ACATACTGCCAATATCTGAGTTGCTTGAATCTCATAAGCGCTCCAACAAGCATCCCCTTTGACAGCTTTTCCCGCCGCGCCTGCAATACCTTAGTCGCCGACTTCCCCTTCTCGATCTCTCTCATCATGCTCTCCCAATCTCTCTTCTCCTCCGATTTCTCAAGCATTCCCAAATGGAGGTTCGTCGTCTGTTGATGGGGGCGGCGCCGGCGGCGGCGCGGGGGGGGGGAGCGCAGGTCGGTCGTGCCCACCTTGGCCATAGCGCGCGGGAGCGCGCGCACCCTGCGCCGCTGCAGCTCCCCGCGCCTCCCGATCCCTCCGGCCAATCTGCGCAAGCTGAACACATGACACGTGTCGTCTTCTCCTTGCAGATGCCGCGCCAGACGCGACTTCCAGTCCGGACAGAGTAACTCCTGCTGCGACGCGCGGCATCTCGACGTCGACCTCGATCTGGACCCCGATCCGCACAGCGCAGCTGCGCGGCGACCGGCTAAGTCCGCCACGTGCTCGAGAGGGTGCCACGTGGCCCCATCCGATTGGCGCCCTCGCACGGTCTCGATCGCGACGACATCCGCTAACAGACGGCGATCCCGTTGGCGAGCGGAAGCACCGATGCTGATGTGGAACGAGAAGGAGGAGAAGGATGAGGGCGCAGAGATTGGTGCGCGCGACGTGGCGGCCGGGCCAGGAGAAGCAGCGGCAGCAGCCAAAAGCTCGGCGCGCAAGCGCGCCGCGCAGGACGAGGAGGCAGACGATGACCCCACGCAGCCGAGACCCCACCCCTCCGCCGTCATTGCCGCTCGCATGGCCGCCGCCGCCGCCATGTTGTCGTCACCTTCTTATTCAGATCAGATGACAGAGACGCCAGCTGTCAAATCATGACTGATTCTACTGATTAACAAATTAGATTGATTGACTCATTGATAGACTGTTCTATTGATAGGTCGGTTTCGATCGATGGACTGCTCTCGATTGATTCTCCCGATCGGGCACATAGAGGGGGAACTCGCTCCGATGGACAATCTATGTGTCAGGTGGCAAACAACTGATCATCCCACGTGGCGCAATCCTTCCCTGGGCAAACGTATCCACCGCAGGCGCCGACTTTTCACAAAAAGATAATTTGTTTGCTTGGCAATATGGTGTCGCGCCTTTTTTTTGGGGGGGAAGGCGGGGGAGAGGGGCCTTAGGAAGTGCCAATTCAGGGCCTCGCCACACCACTTTTGAGAAGTTTTTTCCAAGAGCTTTGGCGTTGCCACACAGGGCCTCGCTGCACCACACAGCACTGTACATGCATTTGGCAGCGTTCTGGACCAGCGGCATTCAGACGAGTCCAACATTTCAGGGTTGCGTTTCCGCCCCCTGAGACAACGTCACCCAAAAAAATTTTTTTTTTTTGTCACCCAAATTTCAACGTAGGTGGTCGTCGGGAGGGTGGGCATTTTCAGGGTTTGGGGCCTCCTAAGCTTTTTTCGAAATTGAAACCGCGCGGGTCCACTTTCTCGAATAGAAAGCCACCTCGAACTTCTCGAATAGAAAGCCACCTCGAACTCGAATAGAACTGTGTACCGCGCGGGGGCGCGAGCACAGCCAAAAGGGAGCGAGGAGCAGGACAGGCGAGGTGGCCCTTTTCTCACTCCTCCCGCCTCCACCACCAACGATCGACCGCCGTGGACTCTGGGCCTCGCCACACCACTCTCGAAATGTGAAAGAAAGACAAAAAATGTGGCGGGTGCATCTGGCCATGTTCTAGCGAGAAGTTCATTCCCATTGTTCGCAGCCCGTCAGGGTTGCGCTTTCCCCCCCTGAGACATTTCAACGTTCAACGTCAATCAAATTTCAACGTTGGTGGTCGTCGGAGGGTGGGCATTTTGAGGTTTTGGGGCATTGCAAGGGCGAGGACCGCGTAGGACCAGTAGCTGCGCGTACGAGGCCGCAGTCTTTTCCGAATCCGAAATTGAAACGGTGCGGGTCCACTTTAGCAGAGTTCCTCAAATAGAAAACGTACACGTTGTATTCGAATTCGAATACAACCTCTACACTTTCTATTCGGATTTCAAAAAGAATTTTTTTTTGTATTCTAATAAAATTACTTCTTTTTTTGTTGGAGGTCTGCACCCTGCCACTCACATGCTGCATGCTGCAGGTCCGTCTCTCTCTCTCTCTCTCTCTCTCTCTCTCTCTCTCTCTCTCTCTCTCTCTCTCTCTCT